GCGTACGAAGATACAGGTCTATTAAACAATCATACGACCCGTTGTGATGTATGGAAGCGAAACGTGGACGATAACAAAGGCAAATGAAGAGAGACTACGTGTTTGGGAAAGAAAAATCCTAAGGAAGATCTTTGGTCCGGTGCTTGATGAAGCATCAGGACAATATAGGATAAGAACTAATATAGATCTTGAAGAACTTTACCCAGACGCCAACATCATAAAAGAAATAAAGTCTAGAAGACTCCAATGTGCAGGACACCTCAGAAGACATTCTGACGAACGAACAGTAAGACTGGTGTGGGAGGAAGTACCAACTGAAAGGAGACCACACGGACGCCCTCGTCTCCGGTGGCGAGATAATATAGCAGGAGACCTAAGCACTATGGGCGTGGAGAATTGGATGGAGGTTGCTCAAGACAGAAAACAGTAGAGGCATGTTGTCGAGTCGGCTAAAACCCACGAAGGGTTGTAACGCCATGGAGTAAGTAAGTAAATATGGTTTCTCGGAGACAACTACTTACTCTTGCCGCTTTTGATGCTTGGCTTGTGGTCTCTGTTGTTATATCCCTGTCACTAGTGATCTCTACTCCTAGGTAATTTAATTTCATTACTTGTTCTACGGAGAAAAATTCAATAGCCATATGCATCGGGAATGGAAACATGTATTATCTGTGGAGCAGCAGGAGAGACATACTTGACAGAAGAAGAACTAGAAGCTAAAGAAATGACCTTATCATTCATCTCTTGCTCCAATAACAAACAAGTGGCGTTAGATTCATTTCGGAAAAAATAGATTCCACAGAATAAGGCTCGAGAATAGGGAGGCAATATTTTTTACCTAACAAATTTATCACTAGTGATTTGACTTGGCGAAAATAATAGTCTGTTAAAAACCTTCAAACTCTTCAACTAACTTCGAAATAGTATCGATAGAATTTTTAATAGCAGTCTTTTCGTTATCGTAATCCAAGGTATCTATCCTAAACCCTAACTAACAATCTCTTGAGGATTTTCCTCTTTTCATTTATTTTTAAAACTCGTAACAGTTCCTCTAATTCATAACTAATTTCCTCTGAAGTAAGAAAATTGACTTCAAAATTATCCATTTTTTAATTTGAGTCTACGGTTATAAAAAAAATATAAAAATAGTACAAATACACCAAAGAAAGATCAGGTTTAATTCCAAAATTTATACATAAATATGGAGAAACTTTTGTAGTGTGTTTACCACACGGACGCAAGAAGAAAATGAGGAATTATCTGAGATAGAGATAAAGCAAATAGAACAATAAATAAATAGAAATAAAACAACGGAAAGTGATGAGGGTTCTCGTAGCTTGGCGGTATATAAATGTATAGAGAAAGCTAAGAAAATGATTAGGTAAAAATATAACAAGCTATTTGCGGATACGACCATCGGCATCGTCAGAAACAGGGGTAAACGGATAAAAAATTATTTAATATTTTAATTATAAATAAAACATTTATCTAGGTATAGTTTTTTTATATATAGTAGGTAACTATTTCGAAACAATTTTTTGTAACAATTATTAAATTTGAGATTTTTCTATTTTACGTGCCTTAAAATGTCATGTAAGCTTTAACCCTTGTAAGTAGATTCGGGGTGCGGCTGCACGCCAGACCTTCTTTTTGAAGAGAGCAATGGAAAGACAAATGTTGCACATAAGACTAATGGATAAAAAGAGAAACGAGTGGATAAGAGAGAAAACAAAAGTGAGGGGTGTTGGACAAGAAGTTGCAAAATTGAAATGGAGATTTGCCGGACACAATATAAGACAAAAAGAAGACCGATGGAACAAAATTCTTATAAGTTGGAGACCGTGGAGAATATAAACGAAGCAAAGGAAGGCCCCAAATGAGATGGGCAGATGATTTCAAGAAGCACGTGGGCTCTAGGTAGATGACTGTAGTGGCAGACAGAGAAGAATGGAAAAGGATTGGGGAGGCCTATGTCTAGAGATGGACCGAAGAAGGCTAATTAGATATATTAGATAGAGAGTTGTCGATTTGGTCATGTAATGATTTTTCATCAATTGTTCTTTGGTAGTTATCTTAGTTTTCTTTTAAATTGTTAGTAATAATTCTGGTTATTGTTAGTTTTGCAATTAATTTTATTCTTGCTAGTTTTAGATCTAGAACAATTTTTGTTCCAATTAGGCAATCTATGGTCGCTGGTTCTTAGAAATTTACTTATTATACTGACATCTTTTATTGTAACAATCTTGTTGATTATAATAAAGTCTATTTAGGTCTTAGTAATTCCATTTGGAGCTATCAAACTTTATTTTGTGTTTGATTCATTCTAAAAGAGTATATTTGAAATAGGCATGTTTTGGTAGTATGCAAACTGAACCAGTTTTAATACCCATTTATTTCTATCACCAACTCCATACTTTCCCATGACTTGTTTCTTGCCGTTTCTGTTTTACACTTTGGCAATAAAGTCACCAGTTAAATACTTCAAGTGACTTTTATTGTTATATAATGCTTCATTTATGTTACTATATAGTTCCTCTATTTCTTCCTCAGTGTGAATATTCGTTGGGGCGTATATTTGTATAATTTGTATATTGTATCTGTTTAATAATTGTAAGGTTAAGCTAGCTACTCTATCCGAGATACTAGTTATTTCTGCTACTCTTCGTTTCCATTTCTTATTGATTACCAATCCAATGCCGTCTGTTCTGCCCGTTGATGTTCCTCAAATTTTTTGACGATAATTCCCATAGCTTTTCATCTTTTCATCTTAGCTCGCTGATTCCTATGACGTGCCAATTTATTTTTTCAGTTTTTTTTTTCAGTTCTACAAGTCTAGATTGATTTGATAACGAGCGGCGGGTATACGTGAGTTGTTGTTTTACTTGGGTAGCGGTTGTTGTACAAAAAAATTTATCAACATAAAAAGGCACCATATATTCTTATACATTTACATAAATAGTTGAAAATATTTGCATTTATAACAACAACAACAAAAGTTCATCGGGTGCAGGTTGTTTGTTCATGCGTACGGGTAATAACAAACCATCTTTGGAATACCATCTTTGCAATACCATCCCCAATCTGTTGCTCTGATATTTTCATTTCCAAGCCAGACATATGAGCAGATGTTTTATTCTGTTGTATGAGATTTCAAAATAAGAACGCTTAAAATTTCGAATGTATAACGCCCCACTACCTAATATACCGGTTTTGTAGATTATTATGCTCCAAAATGTACTGTACTATACTAATGGAATTTTCCGAAAAAAAAAATTAATTGGTTTTTTAACGTATTTCCTTCATTTTACGAACGATAGGGTGTTTCCTTAAAAACGATTTTGTAGAGGTTTTTAAGAGCTACAAGGATCTGTGAGTTAAATCTCTTTGGAACCCTTGGTTTTTAAATGGGGTAAGTTTAAAGGGCTCGAAAAAGATGGTGCTTGATTGTAAATCGATGCTTTAAACGGCTATATCTCGCCAAATATTCATTGTACAACAAATCTAAATAAAGTAAAATTTTGATCATTAAAAAAGCTACAATTTAGTATATTTTATTTTTTTCATATATTTAGTATTTTCGGGGATATTTAAAAAAAAGGGTAAAAAATATGAAATTGTAAATCGTTTCTCGCTTTATGCTGTATTTTTTCTAAAACTAAGCATTTTAAATGGGTCAAACTTCTTGGACGTATTAACAATACATGCACAAAGAGAATTGCAAAATTGTAAAGATCGATTTTAATTATGGGGGTGGTTAAAGGGTTGTTTTCATCGATTTTTTCGTAAAAAATGAGGTATTGACCTTATTTTTATCATAACTCACTCAATTTTTGAGCTATATTTTTTTTATGATAGGTCTATTTATGCTCTTTAAAAAAAGGTTCTGTAAGTTTTCTTCCAAAAATGCATCATTTTCCCGATATTTGACTTTGAATCTTTCAAATTTTGCATTTGAAGAAAACCGCTGAACATTAATAGGCCGTATTTCGGTTCCTGTTATATCGCAAAAACATTTTAAAAAATGAATTGTATTTGTCTTTTTAAAAGCTACAAATTTATTCTCAATAATTTTTTTGATAAAATGCACCATTTTCGAGTTATTCGCGAAAAATCGATTAAAAATGTCGATTTTTTCGTCTAAAAGTTGTTACTTTCAATCGCGAATAACTTGAAAAATATCAGTTTTACAAAAAAAATGTATAAAACGTTTTTTGTTTAGAATCACTTTTTTAATCGAAACCTGTAGTTAAAACGTAAAAAAAAAATTCACCCTCGAGATGGGGTGGCAACCACCCCCAAGGCTTTGGCGCACTTTGGTTCGATATAGATTTTGATCCTTGGCTATTACCTACCTTCTGTTAAAATTTTAAGTCAATTGACGCAGGACGAAAAAATTGCGAGGTGAAAAGCTTCATTTCCTGGACTATAAATGGTTTGACAGCATAATAAAATCGTAGATTTATGTGTAGCTTTCAATTTTTATGATTTCAGAATCCATCAGCCCGCTGAAGTATTGGATTTTTATAATATAATTATTTGACAACCTTTTGTTGGTCAACCACCTACAGCAGAATTGAGCCGAAATACATAATATTTCGTATGTTCCGAATTTATTTCGTTCAATCTGTATACTGACATATATAATGACATATAATGACAGATATAGTAACCAACCGAAAGGAATTTTATTTGTATGATGACTTTATTTAGAGCGGAAGAGACTGTAAAACCGGCCAAGGAAATAGTCTATTAAGGAACTCGTGTAAGAGATCGTCATTGAAGTTTCATTGAGTTTTATACTCTCGTATTTTTTATTTTATTTTTTTTTTTAGAAAAAGGGAAAACCATGTTCATATAAATTTAGCAGAATCTACGTAGGATTTAGTAGAAAAACAAAATTGAAAAAAAAAATTAAATAATTTAAACGTATAGAGAATTTAAGTGATTCTAAACTATAGTATACACATACACATGTTAAATATTGGATTTTTTTCTTCCAGGTTTAAAGACCATTGTTGGTGCCGTAATCGAATCAGTAAAAAATCTGCGAGATGTGATAATTTTAACAATGTTTTCCCTCTCCGTATTTGCACTAATGGGTTTACAAATTTACATGGGAGTCCTCACACAAAAATGCGTGAAAAACTTTCCTCATGATGGCTCCTGGGGGAATCTTACAGACGAGAACTGGGAAAGGTTTATGGATAATGAAAGTAAGTATTCTTGAGACATATTATTTTTTACTATAACCTTAATTTACATACTACAAATTATAATAACTTCCGGTCACATAAGTATGTAGGTAGTTAGCTCAAGTTTCAAAACACGTAGTTGTTTTTTACTCTTTGTTTATTGCTTTTTATTTGTTTTTTATATTATTAACTACTCTAGTTTATTGGTTTTCCGATATTGTTAAAATTTTCTTTGGCGGTGATTTATAGAGGGATATAAAAATTTATATAATTTAACAAAGACGAATAACCAGTAGATACATATTTATATACAAGCATGCATAGATATCTATTATTACTAGTGAAGAAAAAACGTAGGTACACACAACGGCCAAGTTTAAGAATGAAGATTAGGAAAGCAGATTTATCAAAAACTATTTTGGAGAAAAGACATTACACAAATATTCAATCCATTTTGAGTCAATTTATTGATTTTGATAATTTCGAAATAATTGTGACAATGCAACGTTTCGTTTTAATTTAGTATTTATTAAACTAAGTAAAAGAATAAATCAGAAGGTTTTCCGACGCGTGAGCGATTGTTGCACAGCACAACGATTGTCGTTGTGCTTTGTTGATAGTCATTGCGAAAAAGGAACGCATCGGGAACTGGAACTGTAAACGTTTGAATTCGAATGGCATATTTGTCGGTATCATTGGGATACGTGGCAACAGTGCGTCTTCACCTTTGAATTTTTCAGTCAAAATTGTTGCCTCGATAACATTGTTCATTATTTCCTTGACTGAGAGTCTGGTTCCGTTACAAAGTCGTGGTAGATTTCAAAGAAGAATGATTGGTACGGCTATTTTCAATGTAAGAAAATATATTTTAAATGCATAATTAACGATTCTATAAAGGACATACAGACAAACATTCATAAATAAAAAATACCTGCAAATTTAAATTGTCGAAGAAGTAGTCCACAGATATTATTCTTTCTAGTTTCTAGCTCTTGTGTCTCAGTAATACAGGACTCAATACATTAGACTTTAGTCATAGATTTTAGACAGATTTTAGTCTGCCAGAATACGGTTCGTAGCCAAAAAGTGGATGGTGGTTGTCGAAGGTTTGTTTGGATCTTTGATAGAAATTGTGGGTCATTTTACGGGAGTCAGGATCTAAGGATCTAAGAGGCCTGAAACTTTATAGGGTTTATCAAGAAAGGTTGGTCTCATCAGCCCGGAATGAGTCTGTATGTTTCGTTCAGGCGGGTGTTAACTTTCTTTACGTGCGCAGATCTCTCCCATACCAGACATGTGTAATCCGTCATTCAGAAGCATAGCGCCTGCGTTGTTTGTCTTAGTACTGGGAGTTTGTTGCCCCATTTACTATTATTAAGTTTTATTTAAAAGATTGTTAGGGGTATCCATCTGCTTTCTGGTTTTTTAACAGTGAAACCTGCAGCATAACGAGCGATTTAGTATGATTCGGTGTGACCTAAGATGATGTTATTCCAGGTGATAGTTAATTTCCTTCTGGCCTGTAGGGACTGATGATGTAAAGTGCAAACCTGATTTTTAGTTGGATTTGGTCTTGTCAAATTTTCTTTACAATAATCGGACATCTAATTCAAGACAGTTTTAACCTAGGGCTATAACGTTTAAGTCATCTAAATGAACTTTTGTGAAGCCTATATAAACTTTTAGTAAAAGTTGACCATGGTTAATTGTATTATTGGTGTATAGGTTGAAAACTATCGAAGCTAGTACGATAACCAGAACTGAGTCGTTTGTTTGGGTTGGCTAGCGACTTTAAAAACTCAAGTAGAATCGTCTATTTGCAGTAGTGATTCCATTAGTTTGGCAAGTTGGTCGTTTTTAAGAGTGGCGTAAACTTTCTGCATAAGGTCCTTTGGTTGACGGTATGATTTTCGAATTGACCTCTTTGCAGGATAAGTCTTATGTACAGTTTATATGGGTGGCGGAGAAAGGATATAAGGCGTTTCGCAGGTTTTCGTATAGCTATAACTTTTTCTTTTCTCAACAGTTTTGGTATATGTACCTAATGTCGTTCGGCAGTTATTAAACCGGTATAGAATCCAGATTTTTGCCACACTGTCAAAATTTTTAATTTGTTTTACGCTTATATCAAAGATTCCTACGAATTACCCATTTTTTAGTGAATATAGTTCTGTGTTATGTTCTGCCATGACGGAAAGTGTGTCAAAGTACTTTTTCTTGACTGTTGGGGAACGATTAATACGTTTTTTTTGCATATAGTATAGAATTAGTGGGCTATCTGGTTGGGAGTACCGTTCGAAGGCGCTTTGTTCAACTTTAGATTGAAATAAACGACTAGTATTTATATAACAATAAGTCTCACAATAAACTTAACTACCCGAAGCAGCAATAACTAGAAGAAGAACCATATTTACTCATAATTTGTCAAATAGTGGGTAACATATTATTCAAATTCTATAATTGTAACCTATTTTAAAATGGTTTATTTCTTTTAGCAAATTGGTATGTAGATGAAAGTGGAGACTATCCTTTATGTGGTAATTCTTCAGGAGCTGGTCAGTGCAAACCAGGTTACACATGTCTTCAGGGGTACGGTGATAATCCAAATTACGGTTATACAAGTTTTGATACTTTTGGTTGGGCGTTTCTATCTGCCTTTAGGTTAATGACTCAAGATTACTGGGAAAATCTTTACCAATTGGTAAGTTTTAATTTTCGACAGGATATGGATATTGGATTTATACAGAGTGGCTCAAAAGTCTGAAAACGGCTAATTATCTCGTAAAATCATAATTGTACAAAATTTGAGATACACCTATTTTGGGATACGGAGATTTCATATTTGATATTTATAATGTTGAAAGGTTTGCCGTTTTTCTTATATTATTAGTAACTTTGGTTTTTCAAATACATCACCCTGTATATTCAGTCATTATTGGAATCTCCTATTTAATACGAGTTCAACCATATGTAACACTTATGATTTTGTGTAATCTGGAAGGTCATAAATACATAAAACCGAAGTCTGGCAACGCCTAAATTGTTTCGATAAATTTTTTAATACTAACTATTTTCAAATACATTAAAACTTATGATAGTTTAGAACATTTTTTAACATAGTAGTTACATTATTAAGTGTTCAAAATGTGCTCAATTTGTGAGTTGACAGCACCCTAATCGATAGTAGAAGGCGGCTACCACATTTCTCCATGATTGTCTAGAAATTATTCGAGATTCATTGATAATTCGTTGCCTTAGCTCTGCAAGACTTGCTGGTTAAGTTTTGTAAACTGAATTTTTCACGTATCCCTAATAAAAATAATCTTTAGGATTGAAATCGGGTGAACGTGGAGGCCATTCAATTCTACCTTGTCTACCAATTTATCGTCCAGGAAATATCTCATCTAAATATCGCCGAACATTTACACCAACTATCTGACGTTAAATTTCTTTCGATAAAAAATGACCCAATTGAATAAGTAACTACAATATTTGACCATACATTTAATTTTTGTGGTCTTTGAGTATGGTTTTCACGCATTCAGTCTTCAGTGTGAATTTACGTCACACCAGTACCTTAAATTGTGTCAATTTATACTTCCACACAGTGTAAAAGTTGCTTCATCGGAAAAACATATTCTGTTAACGAAATTTTAATAATTTTCAATTTTATCCATCATTACCTCAGTAAACTCTAATCTACGGCCAAAGTCATCTTCACTTAATTCTTGCAATAAGTTAATTTTGTATGATTTAAATTTATTTTTACGTAATAAACGTAAGACTAAAGAATGACCTACATCATGTACTTTTGCAACCCTGCCTGGGGATGTATGTGGATCTTCAACAAAACTTTGCTTATATCTGAAGTTTTGATGTCATTGATAACTCGTTTCGGTCAACCTGATCGGTATCTATCTTTTACTTCTTCAGATTCCTCAAATCGCCTTACAGTTTTTTGTACCGTCGTCTTATGAATAGGAGAACGGTTTAGAGAACGGCATTTTAGAGAAGCAATTTAAATTGCAGAACTTTTTGAACCACAACTACTGTCAATTTTAGTTCATAATTTAAATGGTGAACAAATGTCAAAATCACAGCATTCTCAATTTAAATATTTAAATTTATTAAAATCTACATATTTTGCACTGTTTTATGTATTTAAGATCTTTCAGACTACATAATATCAAGTGAACATATGGTTGAACTTGTACTGAATAGCTGAACTCGTGTGAAATTCACACTGAAAGCGTGAAAACCATACTCAAAGACCACAAAAATTAAATGCATGGTCAGTTATAGTAGGTACTTATTTAATTGGGCCATTTTTTATTGAAAGAAATTTAACGTCAGATAGTTGGTGTAAATGTTCGGCGTTATTTAGATGAGATATTTCCCGGACGATAAATTGGTAGACAAGGTAGAATTGAATGGCCTACACGTTCACCCGATCTCAATCCTAAAGATTATTTTTATTAGAGATACTTGAAAAATTCAGTTTACAAAACTTAACCAGCAAGTCTTGCATAACTAAGGCAATGAATTGTCGATGAATCTCGAATAATTTTTAGACAATCATGGAGAAATGTGGTAGACGCATTCTACCATCGATTAGAGTGCTGTCAGCTCACAAATGGAGCACATTTTGAACACTTAATAACGTAACTATTATGTTAAAAAATATTCTAAACTATCAATTCTTACGTTTTAATGTATTTGAAAATAGTTAGTATTAAAAAATGTATTGAAACAATTTAGGCGATGCCAGACTTTTGTTTTATGTATTCAAGACCTTCCAAACTGTATAAAATCATAAGTGTTACATATGGTTGAACTCGTATTACAGGGTGATGCATTTGAAAAACCAAAGTTACTAGTAATATAAGAGAAACTGAAAATCTGGCAACATTGTAAATACCAAATATGGAATCTCCGTATCCCAAAATAGGCGTATCTCAAATTTTGTTTAATTATGTCTAGTAATTTACGAGATAATTAGCCGTTTCCAGACTTTTGGGCCACTCTGTATATTCTTTAAATGATTTTTTTAAATGTTTTCTTTTTAGGTATTACGATCCGCTGGTCCATGGCACATGCTATTTTTTATTGTGATTATATTTTTGGGATCATTTTATTTGGTTAATTTAATATTAGCTATTGTAGCGATGTCTTATGACGAACTACAAAAGAAGGCCGAAGAGGAAGAGGCAGCTGAAGAAGAAGCCATCAGGGTAAGATCGTGAAAATATATATTGATTAAGTATTACTCAAGCAATGTAAATCCTGTATCTACATCGGCAAATTAAAAAAAATGGAGTTAAATATAGTTTTTTATAAATTTGTTATATTTGACATTAAATATGAACAAAATTTCTTAAAACAACATTAATTTCTAATTTTACTGTGTTTTGGTAGGCATTGTACAATTTTAAAGATATTTAAAAATAGATAGAAAGAGATAGATAAACAGATAGAAATAGTGTTTCTCTAAACATCCAGTAAATTTGGTATTGTTTAAAATACTGAATGATTTTGTTCACGAACCTTTGTATCCCCCTCTAGCCAGCCCTTTTGCAGTCGTCTATCTTCTTATTAATTAACAAAATTTTAAAACATTTACTAAATAAAATATGAACTTTAATTTAGATGGAATTGTTTCAAATCTAATAGACATACAATCATAAAATTTAACTGCATTTTTTAAATATGCCGATGTATTGCTATAGAACACAATATATTTTTTGAGTTATGGTTCTTAGGAAGCCGAGAAAGCCGCGCAAGCGAAACAGGACAGAGCAGATGCGCGCGCAGCGGCAGCAGAGGAAGCACGAGAAGCTGCAGCCGCCGCACTAGCTGCCGAAAACTGTCCAGATATTGTAAAGTCCCCATCCGATTTTTCCTGCCACAGTTACGAGCTCTTCGTGGGACAAGCCAAAGGTCACGATGACAACAACAAGGAGAAGATGAGCATACGATCGGAAGGACTAGATTCAGTGAGTGAGCAGCGAAGAATACCTACTAATCCCACCAAGATGCGGAAAGTTAGCGCTGTAAGTGTCTTGATACTTTTGAGCCTCTCTCAAATTTGCAACCATCACTGCAAGTGGCTAAATAAACTGGTATTGATGCGGTTTTTTACCATTTTTCCATACAATCAGAAGAAATACGTCTTAAACAAGCATCGTTGGTTTCATGAAACTAACACATTTTAGATCGCAACCTCCTAATTCTCCTTTTCGCTCTTTTAGCTGAACGACGTGATTTATTTATTTTTTTGCCTTATATTGTTTTCTGTTTACGTTTAAGCTCACATATTATATGTGTATTACATTTCTTTTTTTCTTACCTCTTATTTGGTTTCAATATCTTCTTTTTTATCCATTTATTTTTTTAACTGTATATATCTTTATTTACTGTACTCTTTTCAATTTATTCTTTAGTGGTTATTTTAAGTCAGAGAACTCATATTTTAAGAAAAAGTAATAAGGTATATGCAATTAATGGGTTTCTATGAATCGTATTAATCATATATGAAAATAATAATTACTTAAACCTTTTTTGCCTAGATTTTATTAGTTTTGGCGTTTTAACTTCAATATTACACTAAAATGCAAAACAAATGCCATTGTACATCATTGTTCACTTGTTATCATGTATTTAATCTGGCAATACAAACTAGGATTGATGTTTTATAAGCTCATGTTATAATTCATATCACTGGATCGCAATAGTACGACGTCAAATGGACACTCTGTCCATGTGCCCATTTAGTACAGGGTGAAAAGTGTCTCTCATTATTTATCAATACATGTCATTTCGAGATTAGAGATGTTCAATATATTTACTTTTCATCTACTAAAAAATAAGAAATATTTTAAAACACAAAACCTCCAATGTCAGAAATAAAAATGCTCCAGAGGACACGTATTAAATCGTACATATTTGTAATAAAGCAGATTAACAGCAAACAATTTTTAATTTAGAAAATTGAATGTATCTTTCATTTTTTAAAAATTAAAATATTCTTTTAATACAAAATACAGGTTTTGTATAATATTTTTAAAGAAAAACTGTATAGGAACTGGATCAATACTCACAATCTTAAGTAGGTTTTTATTGTTGTTGAATTTTGAGGCTACCGGTTTCTGGGCATACAAAGACCTATGTATTGTGGCCTGATGATGGGGCAAATATTTTAAGCCTCGAAACCGGTAGTCTAAAAAACTCATCAACAATAAAAAAACTCGTTAAGATTGTGAGTATTGACTCATGTCCTATTCTTCTTCTTACGGCGCCTGTCCGTTCCGAACGTTGACGATCATTCTGGCAATGATGACTTTGTTGGTTGATATACGGAATAGCTCCGTTGAAGTCTTTCGATACCATGATCTCAGGTTAGCAAGCCAGGATATTCTTCTTCGTCCTGGGGCCCTTTTTCCTTCAATTTTACCTTGCAAAATGCATTGGAGTAGCTCGTATCTGCCTTGATTTCTCATCATATGTCCCAAAGACTGCAGCTTACGGCCCTTCACGATGTTGACCAAATCCGCGGTTGTGTTCATCCTCCGCAGTACTTCTTCATTGGTGACTTTGTCTGTCCATGGTATCTTCAGGATCTTTCTGTATAACCATAGCTCAAAAGCCTGAAGTTTTGATAGGGTTTCCGCCTTCATTGTCCACGTTTCTACACCGTACAGAAGCACTGAGTATACGTAACATTTAAGGATCCTTATTTTTGTTTCTAGGGTGAGGTCATGGCTTTTGAACACCGAGATCATAATCAAGAATGCACTTTTTCCTTTCCGATGCGACATTTAATTTCTTGGGTATTCTCCCACGACTCATTGATTATAGTACCCAAGTAGTACTGTGAGACACGTTCAATTCTCAATTAGTTCACATACGGATATGCTCCAGTTATGTTTTCCTTGCTGATGATCAATAGCTTGGTTTTGCTAGTGTTTATATACAGTCCGTATGTTCCTCTTGTTTTCGTTATTTTGTTCATTAAGTTTTGCAGCCCTTCTATGGTATTGGATACTATTGTATCATCTGCATACTGCAGGTTATTAAGCTTGAATCCATTTATTGAGATGCCTTTATTAATATCTTTTAGAGCCTTGTCAAAAATGTGCTCCGATTACAGATTAAATATCAGTGGTGAAATTATGCACCCCTGTCTCATTTCTCTTAAGATTTTGACCTGATCTGTTTCACCACCACCATCTGTTGAATAGATATTCACCATCTATTCGGAGCACCGCTGATTGATTCCAATACAGGTTAGCTATTATTTTTAAGCCTTGTCCATCAATCCCTATCCTCTTCAGCACTTCCATAATTTGTTCATGCCTGACTCTATCGAAAGCCTTCTTGTAGTCAATCAGGCATGCAAAAACATTACAGCTGACATCTCTACATTTCTAAAACAATACTTGCACGCTAAATAAAGCTCCCTCGTATCAACGGCGTTTACAAATCCAAACTGATTGGGCGCAATTTGTTCCTTGCATTTCTGGTAAATTCCTTTGTGGATGACTTTTAAAAACAGCTTTAGTAGATGGCTTATTAGGCTTATGGTCCTATAATCTTCACAAACTTTTGTTCCTGGTTTTTTTGGGCAATGGTACGAACTCCGATTTGGGCCATTCTACTGGTATTTTTCCTGCCTTTTATATTTCTTTTGCATCTAATAGTTCTGCAGGAATTTCATCAAGTTCCGGTGCCTTTCCATCTTTTATTTGTCTGACAGCTGCCGTTGTTTCTTGTGGTACGATTTTGGGACCTGAATTTTCTTCAATGGTGGGCTCTTTTATTGTTCCAGGACATGGAAAAGTCTCTCCAAGTATTCTTCCCGTACTTTGTTTTTATCTTCTTTGGTTATGGCAAGATTGCCTTCATCATCTCCTATAGATTAGTATTATGGACTCACATTGGCAATCTTTTTATTATTTTAATATTGTTAAGTCTATTAAAAAGGGGCCATATTATAACAATTTTTCTGTGCGTATGTTTATTTTGCAAGCAAAGTTGTATATCCAGGATATTTCGATCCAATCATCATCATCATCTTGGTGATATAGCCCTTAGAGGTACTCGACCTTCTCAAGCTTTCTACACCATTCTGTTCTGTCCCTTGCTTGCATTTTCCAGTTGCCGATTCCGATGTTCTCGGCATCTTGTGTTACCCCGTCCATCCACCTCAGCTTTGGTCTACTCCGTCCACGGGTTGTGTTGTTAGAATCTATTTATCATGTTCGATTTAGGGACCCGGGATACATGCCCTGTCCACTGCAGGCGGTTTCGCTTAATTATAGTGGTAATATCTTTACCACCAAACGTATGCTTGTAGATATTCTGCCGTTTAAAGTTATATCTACGCCTCCATATTCCGTTCTCACAGGTCGCTCCGAGTATCTTGCGTAGCACCCTTCTTTCAAAAATCGATAGAGCGGATTTATCTGTTTTAGTTAGCGTCCATATTTCTGATGCATGTGAGAATGGGGACTGTCAGTGTTCTATACAGCCTTATACGAGAATTTTCGGCGACTAAATCTAAGTCTAAAAAAATCAAAAATAAACTGGAAGTCGCAAACATTTTTACCGCAAGTGAAAAATTTTTATGACTCGAAGTTAACTAAGATATGTTTTTAGCAGTATTTTTGCACACTGATCACGAATCTGTTGTCAAAATAAATGTGTCTATGGTCGTTTGCGATTTACCCCGTTTTTATTAGTTTTCCCCCAAACTAGAAGTGAGTATTTCCGTTTTGACAGTTTTACCCGTAATAACTTAAAGTGCTGAATCGGAATCCGTATCAGTTTTTCTCTCTTTATAACAGTTTTTCTGAGACTGAACGGAAGGATTTTATTAATTTTCTTAAAACTGGAAGAGAGTTTCTGTTTTGGCAAATTTTGTCGTAATAACTTTAAGTATTAAATCGGAATTTATTATTATTAAAATATAACAAATAAAGATAGAGGAGCGAACTCCTATTATGCCGACACAAAAACAAAGAAAAATATCACTATTAAACTAATACCAGTTATAAAGTTACAATTAAGTACATCATACCAAAATTGTGATGCAAAAAATAAATAATGCAGTACTAAAATAACGTAGTCCTATAAATGAAATAAAGAGCTATTAAGTTTATTTTTAAAGATGTTGCCGATGTGGTGTTTTGACCCAAATTGTTTCAGATATTAAATATTATGTTTGTTAAGAAGTTCACCCTGGACCTTGCAGTAGTCTGTTCCTTTTTTAATTTATAATGATGGCCTCTTAATCTTTCGTCTTGGTTATAAATGAATATGGCGTTTAGGTTCCCAAAACTATATTTTAAAATATAGAAGGAAATAATTAGGTCACCTCTAAGACGTCGTTGCTCTAATAGTGTAACATGAGCCATGGATAGTCTAGCTTCATAATTAGGTCTTACGCGGCTGTATACCAGTCTTGTGGCTTTACGCTGTCTTTACATTTTCAAGCAGGACTTTATCGCCACTGAGATCTGAACTTCACACTGGCCTGTCAAACTCAAGAATAGGTCTGACGTATAATGAGTAAAATTTGCTGAAAGATAAGTTGCCAGTTTCCATGTTTACACACCGACACTATGTGATCAGGCCAATTTAAGTCGCTATTAATTATCATTCCGAGATCGTTGTAGGAGGTTACTGAATTGAAGGGATGTCCATTAATAAAGTACGGCAGAGATGAGTTACTTTTGCCAATATGTAGAACAACGCATTTTTCAATGTTAAGCGGAAAAAAACCATTCTAAGGACCATTCGAATATTGCGTCAAGATCGTGTTGAAGAACATGTTTGTTAAAAATTGGAGTCACATATAATTTCGTATCATCAGCGTAAATAAAAACCTTACTGAACACAATGAGCGGACGATGACTAGTGCAGATACAAAAAAGTAGCTGTCCAAGTACTGATCTTTGTGTGACTCCACTCTTGACTAGGTTATCAAGTGAATAGTCTTCCCCAATGCGAACCCTGAAGAATCTGTCAGATAGAAAATCTTGAATCCCAATAT